AGGCACCCATAAATGCCTGAGGGTATCAACAGCAGAGAATCAGAGGGGTCAGGAGGTCTGAGCTGACCTCTGGCACACCTTGGGCACACATTCCAGGGAGGCTGGTGAGCAATGATGGACAGGTTAAGTGCCCAGGTTTTCTACTGACTCTATTATCAGGTACATGATGCATACAGCGCTACCTGAGTCCCGATCCCAGCACGCCCAGCTGCCAAAGCTGCTTATCAGATGGAAACCTGGGCACGCTCGTTCCCTCCTGTTTCCCAAGGAGAAAAACACAAGAATGCAGGCAGGAAGGGGACAAGTGCTCCAACAGGCACCTTATCACTGGGAAACCTGGCCTGCTGAGCACACCTTCCCTGCAGCCCATAGCACCACCCACGGGCCAGTCCTGCACTCCTGAGCTATAAAACCCACAGCAAACACACACACACACCCTGCACGTTTCAGCCTCTCCTGTTCACACAGCAGGGACAGCAAAATGCTAATAAGCAAGACTCACTACTTAAAAACAAAACCAAAAAATTCCCCCCAAAGTTAGCCAAGTGTTTAAGATTAATGGACAGAATGTGTCTGTCCAAGGGCAACAGAGACAGCAACTGAGTACTGGTGTTCACTAAGCGTCAGATTTGGATGACTAAGCCACAGAGCTCTCAACCAAAGAAGCTTTCAGGACTGCTCTTTTGCAAGGTATTTCTGAGAATTTCTAGTGGAACCAGAACAAAATCTGGTCAGTTTCTTTTAGTTTTTGTCTCTCCAGTGATGAAACCTGCCAAAGGGACACTAATATACAAAGTCAACTTTGAAACTTCATTAAGTAAAGACAGGGGTACTTTAACCATGCACAACCTTTCCCTCAGTGAGCAGAATCTGGCCTGAGGATGTTTACAACTGTCCCAAAGTTGACTGGAATTCTAAAAATGCAGACTGGCCTCCAGAAAACCAAGATCTAAACCATGCTGTAATTAGCATGCTATCACTTCATCTCAATCCAGAGTGTATCTGAAAAGGCCTTTTAGAGTGTGGATCTACTACAGAAGTTACTCCATTCTTCCAATACCTGGCTGTTTTTGTCCTCCTAAGGAGGTCATCAGTTCAGTTAGAATCCTTAAATCAGCTTCCCACCATCTTCATTTTCTTTTCAAAAAATAACAACAGCACTGTATCTTGAGCAACGAAAAGCCACAGATCATACACGTACATTGACTATTTTCCTTTTGGTAATGCACTCTAAGATTTGCTTGCTAAGAGTCAGTCTGTTTCCCACTGGGGTGGCATTAGGAAGGATGGGTTAATATGATTACACCAGGTCCCGTTCTCCTATCCCAGACTGATGCAGCCCTGCCGGTTCCTCTATTACAATAGAGTGCACGCTCTGTTCTGAGCTTGGATATTGGATATATCAGAAAACTGAACTCCTGACAAAAAGCTTTTATAACTTTATTCAACAACTCACCTGAAACAATGTAAAAGAATTAAGGTGTTTTCTGAGCCATCACACATCTCTGCTAAGACTATCAGTTTCTCACAGACCAAACTACCTACAAATCTTGAGGGATGTGATGATACCAACTAAATTAGACCAAAAGGTAACACTCAGTTTTGTCAGCCAACAAGCTACATCTTTTAAGCTCCTTTCTCCCCTCATGTAAGGATAACAGCTTAGCAGATGAGATACATAACTAAATATCATAGCTTCCAAATCAGATCTGGAGACTGAACAGCCTTTGCCAGTCTAGAACACATTGTTTTCTGTAATTTGGCAGAGGTGCTCCTAGTAATCTGGGAGGGGGGAATTTCTATATGGTGATGTAAACCACCACAAAACAAATTTGGCGTCTTTCCATTTGTTTTCCATTGAGGATCTTAGTACAGATTCTGCTGTGCACACTGCTATTACAGTCTACATGCATCAAATAAACACACTATGTAAATCTCACCTCAGATTTATCCCTAACAAATCTCACTTGACTATTTGGGTTTTATGCAGAAATGACTGACTTAGTGAAAGGGAGCAAAGCACCCTATTCATTTAGTCTTGACCTTAGCAAGGCTTTCAACAGAATCACAGATTCAGGAATTGCATGGGACCTCTGGAGGTCACCCAGTCCCACTCCTCTCCTTAAGCAGGGCCACCTACAGCCAGCTGCCCAGGACTGAGTTCAGACAGATGTTGAATATCTCTAAGGACGCTCCCTGAGCAGCCTGCTCCAGTGTCCAGTCACCCTCATGGTGTCTTTGTAAACAAACTGGGATTATGGATATGGGATTATGGGATTATGGATTAGACTACAGTAAAATAGGCTAGAAGCTGACTGGACTGAACAACTGGTGGTTCAAGAAGCAGCAGATTATTAGCAGCATTCCTCAAGGGTCAGTACTGGGGCTGATGCTGTTTAATATCTTCATCAGGACCAGGGCTGCCATTCAGAGGGCCCCGGTAAACTGAAGGAATTTCTTGACAGCAAACTCATGGAATTTGACCGAGATAAATGCAAAATCCTGCACCTGGAACAAAAGAACCCCATGTATGGATTTTCAACTCAAGAAGATGATCCCATGCAGGTACAGACTGCAGACTGGCTGGGTTTCAGCTGTGCAGCTGAAGGGCTGCAAGGTGGCTCAGGTACCTAGAGACTCTGTGGAACCTCCACCCTTGCAGATATTCAGATGTAGAGTGGAGAGGGCCCTGAGCATCGTAATTAACTCTCAAGTGAGCCTTTCTTTGAACAGGAGCTCAGGCTAGATAGCCTCCAGACCTAAATTACTTTATGATCTGCCTCAGGCAGGTGAGGCTTCTGACATGAAGAGTGTCTAGATACTTCTCTTAAAGAACTACATAGGATCACTTTCTGAAGTGGTAATACACAGGTCCCTATCACCCTCCACAACTTCTAAGAGCTGGATTTTTACATCCTTGCAGAGCTCTGAATCTACACACACTGACCAAAAGTCAAGCCTTTACTTCACATTCTTCATAATCCAAGTCTAGATGGCAGTATAAAATACTAGATTATTAGATAAAATTGAACATAGATTAACAAATAACATGGCAACAATAGTCATTCACGATAATAGTAAAATAATGTCTGTTGACTTTATAGGTGTTACTTTGATCCATGGGATATTGTATTCATCACCAAGAATTTTCATATCAGGACTATCAACTTACTACATCATACTGATCTCAGTTTTATAGTACTTAATTAATTTTTGTTTCTCATCATCAAGAAGTACATTTAGCTACCATGGTTTAGCTAACTGGCAGGAGGACAACACAAGTAAACCCACACAGGCGTGTGCACGCACAGACAGCCTTGCTTGCAGCAGCTTGACTGAGAATAGAGGAACAGAACTTCAACCCATGGACCAAAACTGAAACTTCATTTTCACCAGAATTCTATAACCACTGTTATCATAAAATTTTCTTTTACCATGAGCAAAAAAACCCCCCAAATTAGACCCTAATTCAATACTGTCCCCTGCCATATTCCAGATGACTCTGAAGGCTCATTTCTCAACAAAGGTAGAAATCTCTTAACTTTTAGAAAAAGCTGAAAGACTGGAGGAGCACTACACATTTTTCACTGCCATTCTGCTTTACGTGGCACTGAGAATAATAATGAGGAGAGCCCACACAATTCTCAGTCTGGCAAAGCAGAAGGCAATATATCAAAATCTGAATGATGTTTCCGTGCATTGCTCAATCACAACCAAGAGATGATGATTTTCCAGTTTTCATGCTGGTGGAACTCAGACAAGTTGAACACCTCATGTTATCAGCTTTCAGGTATCTAGATATGTAAAACCCAAAGTTCCAATCTCTCAGGTTGGATGAAAGGTTTCTGCCTACCCGCACAAAAATAAGCCAGCTGAGTTCCTGGCAGAAAAGTCATAACCTATTCTTATCATCAGAATGTTAGCTAAGTTCTCTAAAGGTATGAAAATAAGGATGTGGATAATTGCTAGTTTGCACTGGAGGGAACTGTACTTACAGGAATTAACCTCTTGCATGGATGAATAACATAATCCAATCTAATTCTGCCTTTGATGAAACCAAAACCAACACAGTTGAAATAACTTTAAGATTCCTCTTCTACTTTGAGATACATAGTAAAACAAGAGAGAAGCCATGAAAATGTGTTTGTGATCATCTAGCAAGAAGAATACAGATTTTTATTTTTTTATTTTTATTTTTTTAAATCACAAGTGCAGATTTGATAATAATTGCTATAAATGTCTCCTTCCAGTGGTACGAAATGGGATTAGAGGAACAGATGATGTTTCTAGAGAATGGATTTTCTATCTTGTTTTATAGCTCTTCTCAGAGTGATTTAGTTTCTTGAACTGAAATCTAGTAAAGCAGTTTGGGGTTTTTTGTTTGTTTGTTTTCTTAGAATTAAAAAAAATGTACATTAGTGTTTATTTGCATATGGACTTTATTCTTTTAAATCTCTTTTGAAAAATTAGCCACTTCTCCCCAAAATTTATGGTAAGAAATCACAGGGGGATAAATTAAAACATCAATATAAGGTCAGAAAAGTAATTACTGATTTCAGTTCATTTTGCTGTAACATTTGAGACTGAAATCCTATTCTTCATCTACAGCCCAGGAGCTTGTATCAAGAGGCATTTTTAACACAACCACAAGTTAGGAAACACACTTCTTTAATTATCGTCCTTCCCAGAACGGGCACTTGGCAAAGGGGTCCCACACATTCTACGCTCCATAAAGACGGCCCTCTTTCTGAAATTGCCACTCAGGACGTTTCCAATTCTCAGAAACATAAGTGTTGGCAGAACTTTTACCCTGACGACACGCACGATGCTTCAGCCAGAGTGTGTTATTCACGCTTAAGCAAGAGGAACACGAAACTTCTCAGAGGTTGGTTAGAGCAGCCCCGCCGCCAGCAAGCAGCCACGAATCGCCACCTTCACCCACACCTACCCCGAATTAGTTAGAACAAAAAGCGTCTCTCCTCCCGCCCCAGCGCGCTTACCTTGCACCGAGCGGCCGATGCTGTGCAGGTGGGTGAAGGAGGGGTGCGCGGCGTGCACCCCCTTCAGGAACTCCTCCAGCTCCTCGGTGTGGTGGTACCTGAAGTCCAGCGCTGCCGCCGCAGAAGCCAGGCAGAGGATGAGGATGCCCACCGCGTCCTAGGGACAGACAGATGAAGCGTTCTCCGCGGGCAGCGGCCAGCCCGCGGAGAGCCT